CGAGTCGAGTTAAATATTTAACTCGACTCAAATTTGGCTTGACTCGCAAATCATCGAGTCAAAAAAAACACCAACTCAACTTGATTTGAATTCGACTCGGCTTATCTGACTCGTGAGTTAACTCGACTCGTCCAGAACTCTACTAGTAGCGGTAGGAGCGGTAGACGAACTAGTTGCAAGATTCTTTGGCAGTCTTCCTCTTTTCTTAGGCATAATTTTAATATGGAAATACAGGTAATACCAATCCAGAGAAAGGAATGTCTACAGGCTGATCAAGTGATCATACGTGAAAATGCTCTAGAACTATCAGGAAAAAATGTATGACGAAAGCCCTGTAAAATTTTTCCGATATCGTATTGCGTGCGCATTGATCTCACATGACTACTACTGCGAACTTGAGTTTATTGCTTGAAGTGTTGTAGGTAAGTCAATATTCCAACTTATCTTGGGAATACAACTTTGCTAATTCAGAATCATAAGGGAACTGATTCCCATTTTCGCAGTACCATGAGCCATATAATCCATAATTCCCATGTTTCCATCACAAATAGGGCATGGTGAACTCCACGGCTGAGGTGATGTAAAATCATAATTATTAATCCCTCTGAAACTATTTCTGAATTTCAAGTATGGGAAGTGCTCTAAGACGGATTTGATAATTAATTCTGGATCAGGTTTGGCTTCGAAGGTAATAGGCTTGAAATCAAAGGCTTGAGGTTCTGCTGACATATTTATCACAGCTTTTGGTAATTGCCATGGCTCATTTCCAGTTTCTTTCTTATATGTTTTATATAATTTGGAGCAAATTTTATCTGTCAAAACGCTTGGTAACCCACTTAATTTGGCATGCCAATCTAGATATTCGGGGGTTAATACTTTATCAGACTTAGTCATATTGTCTTTTTATATGATTGCAAATCAATTTAAATTAAAGTAAGTATAGTTGATGTAGATTAGCTCTGTAAAAAAATAGTTTCTCAAGAGAAACGCAAATATACAGTATTGTAAAATATTGAGACTATGCAGTTATCTTAATTTCACACTGTTCACACTTATATCTACCTTCTATGCTTTCATCATCATGACCCAACTTGCATAATGGGCATAATGTCTTATCAGTAATACCATAATAATCGAAGTCTTCACTACTATATTCTCTATATAAGTTGGGATATTGATCCAATGTCTTGTTGCGAAAATAAGATCAGTCATAAGTTAGATTAATTTCAGGAATTGATGCAGGTGATAACTTGCTTGAGGTGTGACTGATGTAAGGTCGTTACCAATGGTAATGGTTTTCAAGAACACATGACTCTGATCATTACCAATGGTAACAGTTTTATGAACCCAATCGTTCACATAATCTATAATATTTTTTTTTTTTAGATTCTAGTGATCAGTTTTCCGAATATCTTGACTCTGCAGCTCATATGTCCGCTATATCATTATATCCAGAAACAAGCCCCTCCTGGTTACATTTAAAGCTGGTTTGAACTGCCAAAACACTAGCCTTCGCAACTGGCTATGTATCCTGAACGTCGCATGGCTAACCCCTGATACGGTTAATACGAAGGATTCTGGCTAATTACTGGAAAGAGGAGTCTTTATCAACCTAATTCAGAATAGCTGTCCAACACAGTTAATACGTCCAGACTATCAAAATCATCCTGAGAATTGAACTCAGGCCTCTTAAACTTTAATTGACTCATAGACGCTATGGTACTTCAACTAGAAGCTACTTATAACCCACGACTCTTGTTCAATCCAAGTTATACAGCGTCTACTATTGACCCATCATGTTTCGTTATCAGTAATAACTCCTTGCAGACGATGCGGCACTTGCCTATTACAGGCTAGCCCCCTAATACAAGTTTTGAACTCAATCAGTTCTGCGTAATGTGATCACTTGCGTAATCACATAGGTTCACTATATTCTACAAGTTCATGATCTTTAATGCACATGGTTTGTGCGCATCCTATAAAATTCATTTCCAGAATCTAACTGGTAAAACCTGCAGTAAATTAATACTGCAATCTGTACTTGGCAGTCTATAATATTTTTTTTTTTAACGATGTGGCACTGCCAATAACTTTATTAAATTTATATAGGAGAAATACAAAGTAAATCAATAATCTAGACTAAGTACTAGCTATTCCCCGTAGTTATATTACAAACCCGTTTGAATTGACTGATCATCGTCTTCCCCCTCCAACAAATCCACTAAGTATATACCTAATGAAGATTGCTATCAATAAGAAAAGAAAAAGAAGGAGTCAGTGCCTATCTAAAAATCCGTAAAGGTGTAGCCAAATTTATTCGTCATATGTATCCAAGATTCCCAATTATGTGTAAGACATGATGTCTCTTCGTATCTCAAGAATGAACTGGCACTTTGTTTAGTCTTATCTTTGATTGTAATGCCTAATGAACGTTCTTTTGCTATCATTAGATTACAACGGTGTTTTCAAACATTCTTGAATAATTTTTAATGAAATATTATCAAGGTTTGAGTGATGGTTGAGAAACATTGACCCTTATTTCTGGTGATTTTGTGAACTATGTCTATTAAAGAAGAAGAAATGAGAGAATGAACAATATTGATGTAACCATCTGTTCTAGATGAGGGAGTGGCAAGGATGTCATTTAGAATATCTAGTAATTCTGGAAGGAACTCAGTAAGTTTGGAGATATTTAATTCTGTGAGATGATAGATTAATTCATCTTTGGTAGTTTGAATAACATTTTGTAATCTTGTAGTATAGGTAGGACAGGTCTAGAGGTTTTCAGAAGTTTCTATGTCCAGTTCACAGCCAACATAACACCAATGTTTATACAAATCAGGTTGTAGTATAGATAATCTTGAAAGGGTTGGTACTTCATCAACAAAGTTTTTTATAATAAAAGTCTTAAGTTTATATGAGGCAAATGAAGTAGTGATTGAGGATGAATTTAGGGAGAATAAAGACAAAATAGCAGACCAGCTGATAGAGTGGTTTCTGGTAAGATGTTTGATATGACTATTTTTATTTAGATCAAGAAAGTTGCAGAAAGTCTTGGCAGAAAAAAGTTGTTTGAAGAAACTTTGAATAGATATTTCAATTGGTACATTATTGAAAGTAAAGACAAGATTAGAAAAGGGAATGTTCAATACTAGAATAATAGGATCGGTGTTACATTCAGCTTTGGCTAGTTGGTCTGCGATATCATTAAAGTGACCACCGGTATATGCTTTGACTTTATAGAAATGTATATTAAGCTTCATTGTATCCACTGGTATGTTTAATAAGATGTCAAATAAAGTGATTGGGTATCTTTTCGAATTTTCTGGAAGAAAAGTCATTGTTTAAAACATATTTGGAGAATCCTTAGATTGTAGCTTAACTGTCTGAAAAAATGTTGAAAAAAGAAGACTGTGGTGATACTAAAAAGCAGTAAGGAGGGCATACATTTCAGCACGTGTTGATGAAGACCAGTTCGTCAGTGAAGCTTTGAATGTGTGATAATTATTGGATGAATCAATACAAATCCATCCTAGTTCTATTTTGCATGATTTTGTTTTTGGAGAAACTAAAGAACCATCAGTGTAAAATGTCAGGATATATTATCAGCAAGTATCATTCGTAAGGATTTAAGTTCAGTTAATGTTGAGGAAGAAAGAAACAATGTATCAATTGAGTTGTTAGATGGTGGGTCAAGAGGTTGTTACTCGAAATAGGAGGTGAAGTAAGAGAGATAAGCTACCCTTAAGATTTTAGCAGGTGACTGTTATAGTTGATTTTTGAGGATGTGAGATTGCTTTTGAAATAAATCAACTTCAAAGACTCTATTTATGGGAATTGTGAATATATAAGTGCCAAAACGAATGTTAGCAGAAAAAAGGTTGCAACCAGTACATTTAAAAAGTTGGCTAACATTATTATTATTTGTAGAGCATACAAAGTGTTAACAAACAAATTGATTATCAGTTGGGTTTTTGATGATAATTTGACCAAATGAGGGGTTATTAATTGTGGGATTCTATGAGGCGATAAATTCCTTTTTATGATCATTTGAGAGAGATACATTAATTACAAAGCCATATCATGGTAAAGGAGAGGTTAATCTAAATTCTGGTTTAAGAAGTCGTTGAATATTGTCTTCTAAAACAATGTCTGCTAGTTGTTTGAATAGGGTTTGTGATCCAAAGTATTTAGAGTGATGTTTAAAGTCTCTAAGTAGAAAGTCAGCTTTTGTGATCAGCTGGTAGCCTGAAGCAGAAATTAATTGATCTAAATAAACTAAGTTGTGATTAGTCAAGATCTTTTTAAACGACATGTAAAGTCTGTAAGGAAAAAGTTTTGCGAGAGAATAAGATTCTTCTTTGACTTGGTTAGTGAAAAACAGAGAAGCAATGAGTGAAAATTTAGACGAAGTGGATTTGATAAGTGAAAGGGAGGCGCCTATAAGATTTTTATAAGAAAGTCTATTAAATGGTCGTGACCAAAAATCAAGGAGAGAGGTGGCAAGGAATTGTTGAGATTGAAGTTAAAAGAGTCTTATGACAGAAACATTTTTGTAAGTTGTAGAATTAGTAAATTGATATAAAAGAGCAGTAGAGAGAGATTTAATTTGTAATGACCAGAGATCATTCAAATTATAGAATTGTTTGAAATTTAAAAGAACATTTGGAAGAGTAGATGCAAATTTATTCTTTTTCTTGAATAATGAACGTACAGGTACAAAGAGCATCATACATTCTTGTTGAGATAAGAGTGTTAGTTGCATTCGATATTCTAATAGTGGATAAAGCATCATATTAATAATGTATGAGATTTATTTATTAGTTAAGGGTTTGTAACGCATTAAAGAAACAAAATGATTTATATCAAAAGTAAGTTGTTGTTTGACGAATTTTGAAAAGCGGCTACTGTTGATCCAGACTCCAAGAAAGCGAATAGATCCAGTTTCTGGTATAATGTCAATTGTGGATGATCCAAATTTAAGAGAAATTTTTGTGTTATCTAAAGATTTAGTAGTCAATAGTTTGGATTTGTCTTTGTTGAGTGCTGATCTGGTAAGATTGTAGAATTCTTTAGCGATTTCAAGTATAGATTCTAAATCTTGTTTTGAACTGGCAATCCAATTAGTGTCATCCATAAAAGCGAGTGAAGAGACATTAGTAGTTAGAAAACTGGTAGCCATATTAATCAAATCAGAGGTTCAAGTATGATTAATAATGTATCCTTTATTTAGTAAGGTAACTTCACAAAGAAGAGGATCTAAGTAGATGCATCAGAGTAAGGGTGATATAATTTCTCCTTGATCGATACCAATTTTTACGTCATAGTAATCTGAAGTTCTATATGCTATAAAAACAGCATTTTTTCTTGCAGTGAAAAGATTGATCAGAAGATCAGTAGCCAATTGGAGAACTTTGATGCGATTGAGGGCTAGATGAAGAAACTTTAAGTCTACTTTGTCATAGGCTTTAGAGAGATCTTGGAGTAAAATCCAAATTTCTTTTTTGTTTTCAATAATGTCTTCGAGCAACATATTAACAATTTTGATAGGTGCTTTAGTTGATCCACCAGGTAGACCAGCAAAATTCCCACCACGTAATATATTGTGTTTGGCAAGTATTGTGGAGAGTCTGTTAGTGATGATTTTGATAAAGTCTTTTCGACATATTTCTAACAATATGATAGGTTTAATTTTTGTTATGTCACATTCCCATTCCATAGGCTTTGGAATAGGATAAATATGAGCGATTTTCCATTCGTTAGGGACATCGCCTAAGGTGAAACACATACAGATGAGTTTCCACAGTAAATTTTGAAGTTTATCTCCTAGATGGAAAAGCATTTCGTTAGAAATTTCTGAAGGACCAGCAGCTTTGTTATTAGAAAGTGATTTGAGAACAGCAAACCATTCATCATATGTAGATGGTTGCATTAAGTTTGAATAGTATGATTCGTTAACATAATCTCTAGGGTGGAATTAGTCAGTCCATCTAGAAGACATTAGTGAAGCAGGTGAAAAAAGAAGTGCAAAGTTTTGGAAATGATTGATAGTAGCGCTTTTGATCTCATCTGGATTAATTATGAAATAGTTTGTAAAGGTGTTTAGGTCCTTAATGAGTAGGCGGTCTAACACAATAGAATGTTTTTTCCTATTTAAAATTGAGTCAATCATTTTAGAAGAGTCATTTTGAAGGTTGTCACATCTTTTGTCGATAAAAGTTTTGATAGCTTTTTCTTGGATACGTTGGACATCGATTTTAGCAAGAGCAGAAAGTGATTTGTGAATATCCTTGAGCTGTTTTTTGACATTACGAACATTAGAAACGTCTAATGAAAGGGGAAGAGTGACAGTAGGAAGTTTGGCCTCTATGACTAATTTGTCTACAGCTGATTTGATGGTTTGCTATTCAATAGCGTTTGGCCAGATTTGTTGTTGAATAAAAGTGTTTTTGAATTTTAGTAAGAAGGAGGCAATTTTGCGTGCGCTTATGAGAGAGTCAGGTTGTTCAAAGGGATGTTTGTGATGTTCTTGAGGAGAAATCCAAATTTGAGAGATACAGCTGCGATTTGCTGCAAGAATAGCAGTCTTGATTTAGACCCATAAGATGTTCATGTTGGATTTGTTATGAAAGAGGTTATTAAATCGATCAAAATTATGATATCGAAAGTGAAGGTTAGTATGTGCAGCAAATTCAGTCTATTTAGCATTGTTCATTGCTTTTAGGTTAGAGATTTGCCTTTTATTTTATAGGTTACGAGATCTGGCAGATTGCTGTTTCTGAAAATCAGAGAAAGAAGCAAAAACAATTTTATGATCTGAAGAATAAAGATCAGGAGTATCAATGTAGGAAAATAAAAATTCTGAAGTAAAATTATGTGAAGCAAAAATAGTGTTGATTCGAGAATTGTGAAGTCCTGAATTGTAGGTTGGTTGGGGTGTATCATGACATATGTCATAGAGGTCGATAAAATTCAGGGTAAAAAGTTTTTGATAGAATTCCATTTGCCAATGAATCGATTTTTCTTTGCGGATAAGTGACCAATATGTGTCTAGATTGGTATTAAAATCACCTAGAATTATAGTTCTGAAGTCAGACTTAAGACCTTTCTTGATGTGGGTAGTAATTTCTTTATGTAATTTCAATCATTCTTTCTTGATTCGCGTTTCAGTAAAAGCATATAAATAAATACAAAAGATTCTAAGCTTAACGTTACTAGTTAAGTAAAGGTCAACATAGATAAATCTATCATGATTTAAAAATGTTTTTTGAACATAAATTGCCCAAGATATTTTGATTAGGATGCCAATACCGGCATGAGTGTTAATGTTGTTACTCCAGTAGGAAGAATAATTTGGGTCAGCTGAATTGCGAAAAGTTTGATCAGCTTTGTGTCTGATTTCTGTAAGGTCAATAAAATCAGTATTGAAATCTGAGAAAGAGTCATTGATAAATTGATTTTTGGTCGAACATTGAAGAGAATTGACGTTATGTGTAGCAAAAGTAATAATAGGGGCAGGTGAAGACGTAACATCTGGTTGGAATAAAAAATTAGGTGTATCATTATCAGTATTAAGAAGATTGTTATTATTATTATCAATCATAATTAGAGATAAGGGTTAAGGGTGAGAGAATTATTATGTATTCTTGTTGGTAAGAATGGTGATTTGAGCTATTGCCTCTTTTAGTTGTTTATAAAGATCTCTGATGATAGCATTTTGTTCATTTATATATTCTTGAAGTTTGGGATCAACAGGTTTAGAAGTGGAGGTATTTTTATCAGATGATGAGTTGGCAATATGAGTGCGTTTTTTTTGATTAAAATTTAAGACTAAGTCATGTGAAGCAGATTTATGGGGGATGTTAGAGGTGGAAAGGATGGAGGTAGAGTCTGAATTAAATTTATGCTTTTCTAATTTTGAGATGCGTGCTTCCAGTTCAGACATATCTTTTTGCATCTTTATTAACATGTTAAGGATTTTGTCAAGTTTTTTGTTTGTTTTATCTGATGCAGTATTTTGAGGATTGTGGATAGAATCGTCGATTATTTGTGGTCCTTTTTCTTTGTTGATGATTGGTTTTGGAGGAGTATGAATTTATTGGTTTATCCTCTTTTGGTGTGTTTGATGATAAGTGAGCGAGATCCAACAGATTTGAAACGATTGTAGAGTCGTTAAACAGAAGGTAATTTAGATCTAGGGGGTCTGAGTTCGTCAACATCGTCTGTTGATTTTTTTTGTTTTAGAATTATAGGGCATTTCATGACTATGTGATCAGCTGTGCCACATTTATGGCAGCATTTGAAGTCAGCTGCGCACCATTATAATTCATTATTACTAAAAACATAATCATTAGTGATGGCTTTTTTTAAGTCCTTAGCCGATTCAAAATAAAGAATAGCGAATGATCTGGATTTATAGTTATTCGAACGGGGGATATAGTAAGATTTTGCTTTGACGGTAAGCATAATATCTTGGAGGTCACAGGCAGAAGTTCCAAAGGGAAGGTTAGTTAATTTAACCCTGTATTCATTCCTTTCTTTGACTTGTTCTGGTAAGAAACATGCAGGGTAAATGTGAACACAATCATTGTAAATATACCTAGACCATGTTGTGTAAAACAATTTGATTGCATCTGGATTGTCATAGGTGATATATGTATGTTGCCATAGATCTCTGGTCTGCATGCAGATATTTGTGATGGTACCATATTTGGAGAAGATTGAGGTGATCATATCTTTTTTCAGGCTGAGGTGAATGTCAGTAATACGCAAAGTTCTATTTTAGAACTGTGTGTTATCCTTGTGCTCAGTATAATCCACAAATTTATCAATACCCAAATCAGGAAGTTGGGTGGTGAGCGCGGCTTACATGAATTCTGCATTATCAAAGTAAATAACTGCAGAACACATGAAATTTACATGGCGTACATTCAGCCTTCTGAATGCATAATCATGTGCAAACACATTGTTAATCACACAGATGATTTGGGGGGTAGGGAGTTCCTTATTATTTTTGCTAATAGAGGTAGCGCAAGCAAAAGGAGAGGGACGAGAAATGACAATGAAATCAGTGTTTTCAGTTTCCATATTCATATCATCATCGATGGAAACAAACTCTTGGGTGTCAAGAACATTTGGTGAACTGTCTAGCGTAAGTATCGTCAACAATATCCTTATTACTGATCAAGGAAGGGATGGGCTTTTCTCCGAGGCAAGAGAAGCCACTAGCCTCAGGTTGTTTGGCTTTGAGCGAGTCATAACGACCTTTGTTAGTTTTGTTGATGGAAGATTTTGCTGATTTTCTAACCATTTTATAAAATTTTCGAATAAAATAAACTCTTTCAAATATATTAAACTGTTTTATAAAAGTGAGCTAAAGAACTAGCTAACAGAGTTGTAAAGTTTTAAATAAAGTTTTTAAGCGAAACAATTTTATTTTCTCAGTAAATTTCTAAACTTTTAGAAATTCAGGGTGAAAGGAGAAAGAGTCTTTTTGATTATCAATCCTTTTCTCTATAATATTTTGAATTTGGGTATTGGTTAATCTAGAAATATCACTTACGTTACAAGTAACTAACTTAATTCTATCTATCCTAACCCCTTTTTCTCCAAATAGCATAAGAATATTTTTAGCTCTATGTGTTCAGATTCGCAAATTACCTAGAGTAACATTAGGTAAATACTGCAACATATTTTTGTATATTATCGATCTTGCTGTCTTATCTTTAGTCTTACCATTAGCTGTAATATTTTTTACTTTTTCTTTGAACTCGAGGAAATAATGATACAAATATAAGATTTCTTTTAGACCTATTCTTATAACTTTATCAATTCAATAAGCTAATCTCTGCGTAAAGCCCTCAATTGCGTTGTTTAAGATAGATTCATCATATAGTTTAACTGATATCACTGAAGAAATAGGCCTAGAAAGTTCATGCTTCAAAGTTTGTTCAGTGACTTGATTTCTATCAAACGGTTGTGTAGCAATCAGCTCAGACATTTTATCAGATAGGGCATCCTCACTATTGGTACAAGTGATCATTTTTATGTCACATAATAAGTTGTCTGGAGTAGAGATATTATCACCTGTGTTAAGTGATAATTTTAAATCTTGATCGTTACCAATGATAACAGTTTTTTTATTACATGTTAATTTTGAATTTACAGAAATAACAGCTAGGACTTTATTTTTAGCTGACTCATATAGAAGTTTCTTCTCCTTATTGTGTTGCTTTATTTCACTACTAACGATTTTCTTATGAGCCTTAAGCAAGAAACTATCCATATCTTTCTCTTTTAACAGTTTGCCGTTAAGACGCTTCGTAGAGTTAGTAGGTACTGTTATCACCTCTGGTACTGCAACTGAATTAGCCAAAAGCGCTAGGTAAACTGTTGTTAGAAGAATTATGCAAAGTGCCTCTCAGTTCATTTAGAGTCTGCTTCTGTTCCACTTTCGTGATTCTATCTTCAAACTCAGATTTCATCTCCTCAATTCTAACCCTATGTTTGGCATTTTTAGCATTACACCTCTTATTATATTCCTTATTCGCTCTTAAAAACTCAGCATTCCTGCGCTTAAGTTTAGCTATTTTAGCATCAGATACTGAGAGCTTGAATCTAAGATCGCAGATCTCAGTATTCTCTTTCCTAAGCTCTGCATTCTCAGCCTCAAGCTTATCATTCTTAGCTTCGAGTTCAGTGATACGCTGTTTCAATACTTTAAGTTCGGATAACATAATTATTAATATTGTTTTTTTATATGATAGGAAATATTCAATGTTATGTGTAAAAATTTTTTTATTATTACATGTGAAAAATAAATACAAATGTTTGGAATATAGCCCAGGATATATGACGAAGTTTTTATGCTAATGTACAGGCGCTTTATGACCTATTATTCCTTAATAAATTTTTTCGTTCTTGCTTTCTTACTATCTGGAGAACCATCAACCTCCACTCTATCCTTCAACAAACTCACAATCACTTCTATAATTTTTTTAACACCTTGGCGAAGTTCTGCATCATCATCCAAAATATCCTCAATAAGGACAACGTGATATTCAGTTTTTGAACAATAAATCCTTTTCAGTCAGAAGCTAGAATAGAAAAAGGCATGAGTTAGTAACGCTTAATCATGATGGATTGCAACATATCTTTAGCAAATAGTTAGATTGCAAATTTGGTACTTCGTGTCTTATCCAGCAATCAAATAAGCTGACCATAATAATGCCTATCACACCAGGCCCTTGAAAGTTACTCAAAAGTTACTTAAAAGTGACGGAAAAGTGCCTGGAACTGGCGAGGAACTGAAATATGTGACCAGCGTAGTAAAGCACAATAAATTTCGTTAATTTTGACCAGCACTATTCCATATTTTTTCAAATATTTGAAATGCAATATCTCAGCATACAGGCATTATTAGAAAGCTCTCAACGTTCTCTTTCAAATGACTACAAAACTGCATGAAACTAATAACAGAAAGCTAAGACATTCCGCCCTAAAGATCAGCTAGAAATTATGCCATAGTGCTAGCTAAAGATGGCGCCTCAATTAATTCCAACAGGTGACAAATAAGCATCACAATGTTGCAACAAATTGCAACATTATTAAAATTTAAATTGTAACAGGTGACAAATAAGTGTCACAATGTTGCAACGCCATCTTTAGTGCCAGCCAAAATCTGATCCGCAAATTAACTGCACTATCTGATGATTTTTTTACACTATTTCAGCAACTTAAAAGGCTAGCAAATGGGCCACACCCTTAATTTCAAATATGGCAACCAAAAGGGTCATAGAGTGGAAAACTAACTTTACTCCTATACAATTATTAAAAGGCTTCAGAATGGAAAAACAAACCTCTGCCCTATTTAGTGACCAAACAGTCACAGACCAGTGAAAACAGATGGGTAGCAATAAAGCATCAGAAAGGACATAGATACGTAAAAATAAGTAAGTAGGCATTAATTTTTATAAGTAGGCATCACTATGGTGTAAGTAGATAGATTAAGTAGACATCACTATAATTATAGTGATGTCTACTTAATCTATCTACTATTTATTTAAAAAAAATCATTCTAAAATATTTCTTTTAAAGAAAATACAAATGACTGCTAGAAAAATATTTTTAAAGTTAATATTATACAAATCCTGCTCAGTCATATGATTTAGAGATTACGTGACCTAATTTTGAGTTACACAATAATATTTTAGAAATATTTCATTTAATAGAAATTATTTTAAAAAAAATTTTTAATAAATCATTTTTGAAATTTTTTTTTAATTATATAAGATAATATGATCTAAATTGATTTAGTTTAAATTATTAATTGATTATTATAAGTAAGTTAAATTAAAATAAAGTAATTCTGCTTAATTGTTATCTTTATATATTCTAAATTTTTAATTAAACTTTTTTTAATATATAATTTAAATAGAAAATAATTTTAATTAAATCTTATAATAATTAAAATAATTTATCTCTTAATTATAAGTATAAAATTATTTATAAAATATTATAAAAAAATTATAATATTTTAATATCTAGTGTTTATAAAAATATGAAATAAAATTTATTAGATTTATCATATTAAGATGTATCTAATCATAGTAATTATTAATATATATATCAATTTTTCAATTTTTCAATTTTTGATTATAAAAAATAAATTTTAGTTTATTAGATTTATTTTATTAAAACCTACTATAATTTTAAACTATTTTCTTATCAGAACCATTACAATTAAACTCACCACAATATATATAGTCCGCAAAAGTTTTTCTACTTTATAGTAACAGACACATTTATTCTCGCCATAAAAATAATGACGGATAAATTTTGAACTTTTTGAAGATCGTTTTAAGGTTTTGACTGCTACAATATTTATTGTACTATTTATTTTAAAATACAACTAAAGGGTATATTTTTTCTTAATAGTGTAGGAATAGTTCATTTGTTACATTCTTGTAAAAAATGAAACGAAGTTACGCTTTTTTTGCTTTTTTTCGAATTTTTATATGAAAAAATGTGTTTTTTACATCGGTCAATCATGCCGATCCCCTATTAAAAAAAATAAATCTCAATTTTTGGGGACAAATCTTGTGTTGTACTTCAGGTGCCGTCGAATTTTCTCAAAATAATTTTATTTAGCAAATACTGTGAATATGTTATTGTTAGGGTTTTAACTTTAAATAGAACTGACACAACGAATTCTTTTATATTTATAAAACAGTAATTCCTATTTACATTACAATCCTGAAATAAATACAAACTCATTACCAACAACAATTTTCGAACTTTCTCACTTTTCTTTGATATTGCTGCGTCATTTGACATTTTCATTATTTTAATAAATAACATTATTATTTTAGTTTTATCAATCAGTTAAATGAATGATCTTTTTGATTTTGATCAATTAAATTTGATTGGTGAATGACGTAAGTTGCTAAAATCATTATAAATAGACAAGATATTCAGGCAGTTTGTTGAAAATCAGAAATCAGGATGTCCAGAGAATTATTTGGTGGTGCTATTTCCATGTATATTCCTCCTTCCTTTGAGGATGTCAGGTATATTGATTTATCATTATTATCATTTGAATTTAATCTAACGTTTTTTGTTGATTTGAATTAATCTTAATTAGTAATGTAAGAGACGTACCGGATAACCAAGAAGTTTTCGCAGATTTGAATACAGATCAAAGTATTATTGTTGAAATACTACAATTCGTTCATCAAGCTTCAAATGAAGATGCCGCAAGGTTTGGGTTTGAGCAATTAGATTAAAAATAAAATAAAGAAGTATTACGATTCAACTTTTATTTCTTAACATTTTAGGTATCATTTTGAATCTGTTGCTAATGATAATGATGCAGAAGACTATAGTACTATACATCAAATTACTCAATTAACCCCACAAGAAGTTCCATCCCTTCCGTAAGTAAATCTTAACCTTGTTACGTTTTTCTCCCTATTTACAACTTAAATAAATCTTCTCATATTATTTAGACCTGATACACAAATGTATTTTTGTACAGGTAAACAATCGGTAGCAAAGTTTAACGAAACCGATCCAGATGCTCGTAATTTAGTAAACGTTTATTTGGCAGTATTTAGACTCCCCAAATATGATACTGATATTGTTATTTCTTATAATATTCCTATTTTTATTGGAGCTAAAAGCAGTAGTCGTCAAACTTCTCAAGTAGAAAATGTTCAAATCGGTTTTAGTGAGTTCAAAAGAATGTTGGAAACTTTTAAAATTAATAAATATGATTTATTTGCGATGTAATGGTTACTATATTTAGCATATTTTTATTTTTATTTTTTTGAATTTATTTCTACACTTATAAATAAAAAAAAAATTGATGTAAAATCTATTCGGAAAGAAAAATAAAGCAAGATAATAAGCTTTAACATTATATTAATGATAATTAAAAGCAAAAAAATTATACCATGGTTAATTTTTATAATTAATAATGACTATAATAAATCGTTTATCAGGCAAAAAATCATTATCAGGCATTAATAATTTTTATTAAGCATTATTTGTATTAATAAAATTACATTTAAAACTAATTAATTATATATAGTACAATTTTTATAATAAGTTTTATTAATAATTATTTTTTTTTCCTTTCTTTTTTTCTTTTGACTTGTATTTAATTCGGAAGATGAAATTTCTTGTAAAGGTCTCTTATTTTTTTTATTTAATAGTTGCGAGGCCTTCTTAAAACCATTGGATGACTGTACATTTTAAATTAATTGTCAATATAAAAATATAATAATATTGATATAATAAAAATGTAAAAATACCTTATCTTGTAATGCATTATCTTTATTAATACCATCATATTCTACAGTTCCAGTCAATCTTTACATAACTGAATTAAGAATATTTCTTTTTTTTTCCTTTGTTATTTTAAGATGGTTGCGCATTCCAGCTGATGAACTGTGACCTGAAATTGCCATTGCTTCAACTTCTTTATTTCTAACATCAAATATTGATTAAATTGCTGTATCACGTCCTGAATGCTTAGAGATTTTCTTTCAGATATATTAATCACATACAGACAAATTTCTCAAAACATTCCTCTAATTCATTTTTTTTCAAATCCTCAATCATAATACCATATTCCTTTAGAAATTGCTAAAAAAAAATAAAAATTAAGTAGAAATTCAATTAATAATAAAATAATTAAAAAATTATTTACCTGATACATTTGTTAAGATTTCTAAATAAATGTTAATTTTATAATTTAAAGGTCTTATTGAAATATACTTACAAATATCTGAATTAGGTTCAGCCATACTCTTAATATCTGATAAAAATGATATTTCAAAGGTAAATTGATTACCTTCTAATTCTCCTTGATCATTTTTTTATTTAAATTTCTTAAAAATAAATCCCTTTTCTGTATTTTTAAATTGATCAATTAGTAAATTATAATGTTTATCACCTCACAGACATTCTAGCAGAAAATCTAAAAAAAAAACTTTCTGAAGCAACCCTTCAGGTTCATTTGAAGATATGGTATTATTAGATAAGATAATTTTTAATTCCTCATTATTAAACCTTCATATAGTTTTAGAATACCTATTTCTAATCTTTTCATTTCTTTTAAGGTATTATCAAGTATAACATGAAGTTTTGGAAATTAGTTTTTTTAAAAGATTATAATTCTATTGTAATTTAAAATTTTTAAAATGATGGCTTATTGAAACAACAGCATTTTTCAAGAAAATTCTTGAATATTTTTTGCCTTTTGTTATTCTCATATCATATATAAATTCACACATTTTATTTTCTATTTATTAATTAAAGAAAGTAATTTTAAGGTGTAAATATAGTTTATATTTTACGTTAAGTATTTAAAATATTAACCTATTTTTCAATATATTTAATTATATTTAATAGTATACAACTTTATTGAATCCTTGAAAGTTCCTCAGCTGTAGATTTGAAATAAGTCTTAATATGATTTTTAGCTTTAATATGTACAGTAGCAGTTATAAATATTCGATCACCTTTAACTTTAACTACAAGTAAGTAAATTCAAAAATTTTTTTTTATTTAAAAAATACATAACCAATTAATTAAAATTAATATATTGTGTAGTTACCATCTGACTCTATAAGTGTAACTGTATGCCTTTTCATGCTAGCTATCAAATTTGCAAAAAATATAGGTGATAATCAGTTCTATTCTTTTGTAAGTTCCTCCTTTAACCTTCTAATTTATCAAATTTTTTTTTTGTATATTAATTTTCATTAACCTCTAAATATTTTCTATCCCTTAAACTGTAGAGCAGGCAAATTTGCCTGCGAACATAAAAAAAAGTATTAAGTTTTTAATAAAAAATAAAATATTAATGTTAATAATATAATTATTATATAAAAAATATAGTTTAATATATATTTTATC